TCGACGCACACTTTCTTCGGTTGATACAGTAGGTGGAACCTCTTAATCCACTTTCTCAATGGGTGCTTACTTGGAGCATCTCTTGGTCAGCGAATGTTGTATCGTGTACAAAATTTCCGAAGGGCAGTTGGGTATTAATCACCACTCTTAAAGTAGGTTTCGATAGCAAAAGCACGTTGCGTTTCGGTCCAACGTTCCATTGTGACTATTTAACCCGCACGCCGTACGCATCGATTAAGACCTCTACCCACTTCCTCGCGTATACGGTTGTCGTGTGATTCAAATTTGAAATGTGAACTTTCCCCCTGAGTACTCATTTTTTATTTATTTTTATTTTCATTTGTACAAAACATAGAATGGTCAATAAAAAGTTAAAATTAAGGATAAAATAATTAGTAAAACAAGACAGATGACAATAAGACCAATCTTTCATAATTAAACAATTAAAAATACCTATAAGAGAAGAACTCTTCAATACTATGAAAACACTGATCAATCAGAAGCAATCTCAAATTTTGTTTTAAGCACTTCACGTTTGTTTGTGACTACCTTATGTGGAAGATTATCAACCATTTTAAAAACCTTGGTGAGGTTTGGATACACTGGAATGACTTTTGTGCGTATTGTGCGTGCGAATATCACTATCTACAAAAAAGTGTGCATATTCACAAAAAAATCATACGTGGCTATTTCCAGTATATAATGTCACTATTCCAAAATTTCAAAACAGCTCAAAACAGCTCTCTACACGAGTGGTGGTTACATACATTTGCTAATCTATTTACAATGTTTATTTGAGGAATACGCACTTCATTTGCATTGGACCAGCTACCCCACAAGCAAATGCTATCGCGAGATTTAGACTTAATGGCTCCATAATATACATTCAATAAATCAGGATAGTTTAAAACAATTCTTAAATTTCTAAAAAGTACCTTTGGTACTCGATATCTCTGAAATTGTTCATTAGAAAACTTTGTACCCTCGGACAACTTTTATCGAGACAACATACTAAAAATTCAGCCAATTCAAGTGTAGATAGACTCTTCTAACCAGAAGTTAACTTTCAAAAAGAGTTTTTCAATATCAAGTTTATCCTAAAGTGGAAGTCAACTTCAACCAGAGGACCATGTATGGTATGGGATATCTGTAAAGTTGTGGTCAAACCGCAAAGTCTAACATAATGTGTTTGACACTGCCATAAGTAGTTACGCAGAACAAGATAATTCAGGCATAAAAGTAGCGTTGCTGCACTAACAACGGTTTATTGATTGTTAACTGCAACTTGAAAGACGAATTCATAGACAACTGTTAACTTCCGGGTCATAGTGACCCGACTTTAACGTTAGCTAGAGATTGTAAAAGTCATTTCGGCAGTAACAATTTTGATTTATATATTTTGCATTATTTTCAATGTCCTTGTTTTTGAATCACCCTATATGCGAAAAAACGGCCGACAATTATTTTAAAAATGTCCAGAATATCAACGGCTAGAAAGATATAATTCAGAATTAACAAGATGATCTCCGAAATGGTCACAAACAACGCCGAACGGAACCGGATATGGTCGCGTATAAGCTTCTAGATATGCTTCGGAATATTTATACTAAATTAACATTTAAGCCTAATAGCTGCTTGTCAAAATTTAATGGAGGCAAATAAAGCTACAGATAATAGAAAAATGCCATTTAAATTTTAATAACATCTAAAATGTCCGTTAATCATTTTTTATCTTTTGGCGGAAAGGGGACCAAGCCAAGGTGCGCGTTCGCTGGGTTTTAGAAGGAAGACAGAATGATTTTAAGTCATAGGCGTAGAAATAGAAAATGTCAAAGTCAAACAGACTTACCAAGTTACTTGTAATAAACTTGAATTGGGGTCTAAAGAGAGTCAATTTTTTGTTATAAAGTTGCTATATTTATCGTTTTTCTTTACTAAAATGATACGAGTATCTAAGATATGCATAGCGTTGGGTTAGTTTTTGACCATAACAGTTTAAAAGGAGCCCTGAAGAATGTAATAATTTTTTCCTAAATATAGGCAGCTTTATAACCGGAAACTGTACCTTAGGCCCGTATCGTCAGTCGTTCCTACAATTGAAGGACTCCTTTATGGCCTCCTTGATTGTCATACTCCTTTCTCTCCCTCAAAAATTTCTAGATTGCACCCGTTCTGTGTCAGCGTCAGCGCTCTTCTATTGTGAAGATATGTTTTCTTTTTAAATTGTAGGAAATTTCAAGCTGATAAAACATGGTTTAACTCAAAAGCATGCACAATTTGATGCAAATAGATATTTATGACATAATCTCAAAATAGAGCGCTGACACGGAAAATTAGAAAACTAGGACAATCAAGCAGGCCATAAAGGCGTCCTACAATTGTAGGAACGACTGACGATACGGGTCTTAGACCCCAAATCCAATTATTTACAAGACATTCAGATAACAAGGGTCATAGGGTCAAGAAGAATAATTTTCTATACTACAGGTACATTTGGAGATGTAATACGTTCATCAATGAATGAATCTTGAAATTAGAGGCATTCCGGCCACCATAAGGAGCCAGTGCATAGACCGCTTAAGTGGGCCCTTATGCACCTCTACAATCCTTAGATCACAAGCCTCACCCTTTTAGCGAAGTTGAGAATCTCCTTGAGTCCAAGCTCCTTGACGTCCTGAGGGTCCAAAGTAATGGGCCCCAGTACAGTCTGCCTATAGTAGCTCAGAGCTTCACAGCGACACAAAACGTGCGCCGAGGTCTCTTCCTCTTCCGCAGCGTTCACACAAGGGAGATACTTCTCCATTTCTGAGAGTGTTGTCTTGCAACCCACGTCTCCATCTTCCTCCGCGGTCACTCCTAGAGCTGGCTCAGGACCAACGAGCTTGCTGGCTGAGCTTGTCTTCGCCAGAGTGTCCGCCGTCTCATTGCCCCTTATCCCAGCGTGCCCCGGTACCCATATTAACGATACCGGGTGCCTCGCTGCGAGGCAATCTAGAGCCTCCCTGCATTGCAATACAAGACTCGAAGTAATCTTACAGGCACTTAGTGCTTTCATTGCAGCCTGGCTGTCGGATAAGATTGTTATTCTTCTCCTAGGCTCAGCCTCCTCCAGAATGTGAGATACACAAGCCAGAATCGCAAAGATTTCCGCCTGGAAAATGGTGGTGTATCCACCGAGAGGCATAGATAGCCCAGTTCTAGGCCCAGAGACCCCAGCACCTGAGCCCTCTTCGGTGACCGAGCCGTCCGTGTACCAGACCTGCCCGCTCACTCCGGAGAGTGCCCGGCTACCGGCATCCCACTCCTCCCTCGTTGGGTACTCCACAATAAACTTGCGGTTGAAGCGATATTTAGGGGCAATACGATCACCCCTGCTTAGAAGTACGGGGTCCTCCCTTTGTAATTCGACTAAGATGGCAGTATTCCCCTTGACAGGATTCAACAAAGCCCAGCTGCCCTGACTCCACAGTCTATGAGCGACTACATTCGCTTCACCGCGTACGACCAGTTCCAACGGTGGGAGATCCAACAGAGCTTCCATTGCACTCAATGGCGTTGTTCGCACTGCGCTTGTAATACTAATACAGGCCAAACGCTGAATTTTATTGAGTTTGGCCTTAGTTGTCTCAGTTCTAATGCAAGGCCACCAGACCAGGGAGCCGTACAAGAGAGATGGACGTACTATCGTCGTGTAGAGCCAGTATACTACTTTGGGTTTAAGCCCCCACCTTACCTCGACAACACGTCTACAAGCCCACATCGAATTGCGAGCCTTGCTAACCTTGTATTCCATATGCTCTCTCCAGTTCAGTTTGCAGTCCAGGATAATTCCCAGATATTTCACTGACTGGGACAAAACTAATCTAGTCCTAAAGAAGGTCAGCATGACCAGCCCGTCAAGCCTTCTTCTCCTAGTGAATAGGATCAGCTCGGTCTTTTCAGCATTAACACAAAGATCGACTTCCCTACACCACGATTCCACGGAGCGCAGAGCGCCCTGCATAATTTCCGAGACTGTTCTACAAAAACGCCCCCTAACTACTATGCTTACGTCATCAGCATAGGCTTGCGCATACTGCTGAGCCTAACGAGGAGTTCGTTCACCACGATACACCACAGTAGGGGTGACAGAACTCCGCCCTGAGGGCAGCCTCTAGCTACATTCACGCTGCAGCTTACGTTATTCAGCATAGCTGTTGTTACCCGACCCTCCAGAGTAGATAGGACCCAATCTATTAGGATTGATCCAACCCCGTGTCTAACCAAGGCATGTCTGATAGAGTCGGTTGTGGTGCAGTTAAATGCACCTTCAATGTCCAAGAAGGCCACGAGTGCCACTTCTCGCTGATCTAGAGTCTTCTCCAGCCTACCGACCAGATTGTGTAAGGCCAGATCAGTCGATTTTCCAGCTTGGTATGCAAATTGATTTGCATGAATGACACACCTTTCCAGCGGGCCATCCTTTAAGTATCTATCAACTATCATTTCCAGTGTCTTAAGCACAAAAGATGAAAGAGTAATCGGTCGAAAATCCTTCGGGCCAGTATATCTAGCCCTGCCCGGTTTAGGAATGAATACCACTTTAGCTTGCCGCGAGCTTCTAGGTGTGAAGCCCGTGGTAAGGAATAACCGAACTCCGTCCCTGCTGTAACATGGCCGGAAATACGCCATCCAGACCTGGACTTTTGTATGGAGCAAACGAATCTACTGCCCATCAGTGGCGGCTCGTGCCAATTCAGTGAGGTAGTGCCAGAATGGAAGCCATAATTTTGAATCGATTCAAAATTGTAAAGAATAACTTATAACTTACCCCTGATAGTTAGTGGTCAAAGTTCTTGAGGTTCAATAAATCTATATGTCCAAAAAAAAATCAAAAATAAAACTATTTACACACGCGCACCAAATTATAAAACAAGTGTGGAGAAGTACCTATAACTTCAAAGTTTTCTATACATGAAGTCCATTCTTCTTTCTTTTTTGGTAGCAAAGTTTTCGATTACCTTATTATTAAAATTTTCAATGCCACTAACAAAATGTTTTTCTGCAGACAGCATTCCTAAAGCACTAAGCCTTTCTTCCTTCATTGTGTTTCTGAGGAAAGTTTTAATCCGTTTCAGCATTGAAAAAGAGCGTTCTGCTTCAGATGTTGACATCGGTATAGTGATTAAAATACTTAAGAGCTTAAGAGTTTCTTGAAACGTACAATTTAATCCTTCCTCGTTCAATAAAATGGATAGTGGAACAGCTCCAGAAGTAGTACTCAATTCTTCTCTCTGATATAATACTTGTAACTCAGTTTTAAGCCTGTTTTTGTCTAAAAATGAAAATTGTGTGCATGTGTCATTTAAATGTGCTTCAGGAAACTGATGTTTATAAACAGAAAACTTTTCAGACACAAATAAATTAGAAGCAACTAAATGCCCAGAAAAGTTAAATCTTGTTCTTATTTGCGATAATACTGCATCGCATATTTCTAACGCTTCCCGTTTTTTGCTGCCTTCTTCAACTTGCCTTTTTTTTCTTGCCGGTTCATCAGTTTCTCTCTGCACTCGTTCAATCTCGTCAATAATGCTATCCATTTGTTCTCGTATAGTTTGAATTGCTGCTTCAAAATTCTCTAAATCATTTTTGACCTTAACAGAATCGGTGCATACTTTTTGTAATTGGTTAAAGACAATTTCAACATGTGGCATTATTTTATGGAATATACTTAGCCAAAATACAAAATTTGTATCTTGCAGCTTTAATTTGTACCCACTGGCTTGATTAATCGACGAAGAATCGCGTGAAGTACTTTCTATATTGTCCATAACTTCAATCAGGTCTTTCCTATTTTCATAAACTGTATGAACACCTCGTGACTGAAAATTCCAACGTGTTTGGGAAGATCTTGGCAATCTGCGATTAACTATTTCATCCAAAATTTTTGTTCTTTGAGGAGACGTCGAAAAAAAAGAGCACAATCCAGATAAATTATGGAAAAATATTCTAGCCTGCTTATTGACAGAGCATGCGCTTGTCATAATTAGATTTAACTGGTGTGCATAGCAATGAACATAATTTGCAAGTGGATAAGTTTCCTTAATAATCTTTTGAACGCCATTCAATTCACCACTCATAACAGACGCACCATCATAGCTTTGAGCTATTAATTTGTTTGGATTTTGATCTATTAATGGATTTACAACATTTAAAACGCATGCAGCGATTGATTTGGCATCGTGTCCGTCGGGGACGTAAAATCTCCAAAATCTCTCAACTGGTTGTCCTTTACACAAATATCTGAAAATAATAACTAACTGAAATTCACAGGCTACGTCAGTCGTTTCATCGGCAATTACTGCAACAAAAGGAGAATTTGCAATCTCCTTCTTAACTTCTTCATGATAAACATCTAGCATGCACTCAAGAAGCTCGTTTTGAGTTGTTTTTGAGGTACCCTTGAAAAGTTTGGCACTTTGAATATGGACTTTCAATTCGTTGTCTAATTCGGCGCTAAAATTCACCAGCTCCTTAAATATGCCTCTGTTTTCCGAATTTTCCTTTTCATCGTGACCCCTTAAGGCTAACTCAAATGCTCCACAAAACCTTATACAATTAATAATTTTATTCAATACATATCGATTCTTATCCACTTGATTATTATGTTTAATTAGATCATTGCGATAAGCCGAATTGAGTTGAGTCCTTATATTTAATTTACCAAGAATAGAAAAGCTAAAAACATTATTCATATGGACTTTAGATTTTTCGTGGGTCTTCATTTTATCCCATATATGTATAAGATCATCTGTACCTTTTTTTGACCAAGTCTCGTCACCTCCAAATAGAACACATACAAAACAAAATAGTTTATTCGTTTCTTCACAACCACATATCCAGCTGTTTTTATCGTACACATTTTTATTAAATTTGCGACAGCGCGATTTTTGTCCGCTACCACTTTGTTTCTCAATTTTTAAATCGGGTATTGGCCGTCCTAATTCTTTAATTTGCAGTTTTTGATCCAGCGAAAAACCACTAAATGAGTTTTTTAATATCCCGATTTTATTCATTTTCACTAGTTTTAATAAAACAGTAAAAAATATGATCACAAAACAGAGCAGTTCATTAACACTAGACGTACTAAAACAAAAACGTTATTTCTCACTTTTCAGGTAAAAAAAGACCGAAATCAGCACTAGACGTAATCATAACGAAACGACCGACCGAACAAAAACACCGCCGATATCATTTGATAACGAATTACGACTGATGATGTGCCTGGCACAAATTATACTTGTCTTTCGCTATTCACCTCATATAAAAATGTGTATTGTAGCGTTATCTCTGTCGCTCGTATGCGATGCTGGTAAAATTTCTCTCTTTTTATTTGGGCCGGCCCGACATTGGCACAAGTTGATGACGTCAAGGTCAAGGCATGCTTTATATCTCGTCGCGTGGTTCGGGTGCTTGCGGTGTTGTCACGTTGTCAGTGTTGTCACTTCATATAATTTATACCAAAAAAAAATGAAAAAGCAAAAAATAAAGTAAAACATTGAAGATTGAAAAAAATTTTCTTTTTGAAGAAGACAAGGTAGTGCCATGGCACCGTGGCACTACCTCACGAGCCGCCACTACTGCCCATACCGTCCTTTCGAAGGTGACAATCTCCCTAGCCGTGCGCCAGTCCTCCCCTGAGGGAATGCGCAACTGCATGCACTCTGTGATTGATCGCGCTACTGTGGAACCGGGAAAGTGCATATCCATCAGAAGCCTCAGAGTACCTTCCTCAGAAGCAGTATTCCCCCCGAGGGATCATGCAGAGATCCCAATCTTGCTTTAATGTCTTTGCATAGGACCCTGTGTATTCTCGCAGTAGCAGGAATGTCGTTTATGGACTGACGGAAGTACCTCCAGGATTCTCTGGAGGCCTTTCTAATCTCCTTTTTGTACTCCTGCAATGCCATCAGGTCTTCGCCCCGTCTGTTGGTGTTCGAGCTGCCCCACATAACGTGATGGGCATTGCTGTCGCATCCAATCACGAGGTCGAGTCCAGAATCCCTACAGAATGCGACAAGGTCCCCCATTTCCTTGGACGGAGGAGGCTCTCTTGAATCGTAAGGAAGGTAAGCCGAACATACAACCAAGTCCCTGTCACTGCCTTCCTTCTTATATCTAATTCTGACTGCAAATAAGTCTCTGAATGTAAATTCTTTAAGTTGCCATGAGTTAACAGAAGTCATTACGCAAGCTCTGGGCTTAGTGTCCGGAGTATCGCTAAAAAGCGTATAGCCCGGTATACTGAGCCCGTTTATTGAACCGTTTCTCAGCCAGGGTTCCTGGATGAGAGCCACGTCATGTCGGCCTCGAGTGATCTCCCTTCATCAAAGCTGTGCTATAATATTTCTAACCGTAAGTGATTCCTCCAAACAAATGGTGTCAGGTTACGTTGATTTCTCATTTCGCAAGGAACACAGTAATCAATTATAACAACTATATGACAATGCATGATCTTGTAGGTATATTTATATATATATATACTCGTATATATTTGCCTCATTTCCTTTGTAGATTACGATGATGACTTATAAATTACCTCCATCTCTAGATCAAGAGCCTCAGAAAGCCAATGATCTTAAAACATGGTAACGCAATTGGGATCTGCAAATTTCATTGTTTGCTTTTTTTTTTGTAACCGACGCAACTCGCACTCAACTATACTGAGTTTTTGTGGTGGCTGCGTGTATTGTCTAGTAAGGGACACTGAACACATATGCCAAAAATTATTAAAATCGTCACTCAGTATACCATCTTTAGATTTTATACATCAAAAACCAGGGCAAGCCCTTTGGAGGCTGACACACCTATTGACGGCTATACTAATATTCCGATAACTAGGTACATTCTGAGTATTGCTAGACCCAACTGATTTCTACCCGACTGCCTAAGGCCCGTATCGTCAGTCGTTCCTACAATTGTAGGACGCCTTTATGGCCTTCTTGATTGTCATACTCGTTTCTCTCCTTCAAACATTTCTAGATTACACTCGTCCCGTGTCCTTTTAAATTGTAGGAAATTTCAGGCTGATAAAACATGATATAACTCAAAAGCAAGCACAATTTGATGTGAATAGATGTTTGTGACATAACCTCAAAATAGAGCGCTGACACGGAGAAGTAGAAAACTATGACAATCAAGGAGGCCATAAACGCGCCCTACAATTGTAGGGACGACTGACGATACGGGCTTTAGAAGGAGAGTTATGTTTTTCGCGTGTGAGTATGTATACGTGTATATGAACAAAAAAATGTATTTTACATGTGTTACACTCCAAACGGCTTGATGGATTTTAGCATACTCTTATTATTAGATTCGTCTTCGCAATTAAGTGACACTGGCTATAATCAAATTATATAAAATCAAAATGACAGGCTTTATTAGAACATTGCAATGTTGAAATTCCTATTTCACGGACTTCAATTTAAACGGCTTGATGGATTTTGACATATGAGATATCTCTCTCTTGACAGTGCGAGTGTCACTGGGTATACTGAAATATCATGAATTCAAAAAGTTTTTGAACTTTGCCATTTCTATTTTACGAGTTACAGGAAAAATGGCGTGATAGGTTTTAACATTTATAGCACATTAAAACTCAAATTGTTTTTCAGTCACTGCAGTTGGGTTTTCCGTATTTTTCATAAATGCATTTGAATCACTATGTATATGACACACAGTGGTGACCCGGCTGATAAAGCGAACTGGTATACAGTTCCAATAGTCAGCCTGATGTATTTAGTTTCGCAGTAGCTAGATATGGCACTTTATACTGTCGTATTTCAATAGAAGAAGTGTGCGTCAATTATTTTCTTGCATAATCAAATTGAGGGTAATGAGATTATGGCACACCTAAACTTTAATGTCCCATCTACTCAAACTCGTACCGTTAAAATCTGTTATTACGACAGGGCTCGCACAAATTCATTTTTGAAAGCACCAATATAATGTAATGTGTGAAACTTTCAATGCCATATGTAATTATTGTGATACATGCTGACAGTTTGAACAACATTCTGGGAGTAGCTAAGAATTAAGCAACTTATGACATGTTTCTCACTTGAGTGAAATTTGTTTTTTGTTTCTTTTTTTTGTTTTTCGTTTAGATAGAATTACCTGCCTTTTTTCTATTTTTGTTAGTTTAATTCATCTTTTCTTAGACTCGTCCTGTTAATGGTTTCCTTAACTGTTGAGCAATAAACGCTTTTATTTATTATCATTATAAAGAGTTTAGTCTTGTTAACAGAAAAAAGGAGCGGATTGAATATTGTAGCTTGAGGAGATTTGTGTTTATTCCACACAAAACTGAAGCCAAGTATTGACAATTTGCTGTCAAATCATCAAGTGTATCCCTCCTATTAATGTTTTGATTGATTTATATTTTTATTTTTACTTTTACCACTGCAATTTTGCATCGTTAGATCTAACCATCAGCATTTTTTAAAGTAGTGTTCGAGAAAAAAAGGTTTGGGCCCACTGATCAATTCGAACAGCTTTTTGAAATATGTAACCGCATATTTGAAGGACTTTCTCAGTCATACAAATGAGGAGGACTGAGTCAATGGCTTCTCAGGAAACAAGAAAACTCTTGAGCAAGTAATTTCGGGCAAAGTGGATATTATATTCGCCCACAACCTTATTTTTGTAGTTAGTGCATTTGATATATTGGTGCATATAGCTTATAGATATTAAACTTGACTTTTTGAGCGTATATTGCATAATGAAGGGGAGGGAATATACTAACAAATGGATTATGCCCATCACAATTAATACACTTCGCCCACGATATCGGTGTTGATGAAAAGAATGTGGTAAAAAATTCGGGTTGTTATTTGGTTGTTGCCACGTCTAACCTTCTGAATTGCTGTTCATGCTGGTAGTTTCCGTTTTAAATTGTAAACGAATTGTAGATTTGGAAAACCCTAGCGGGCAACATTTTGAACACTTATTGAAATAAAAATTGATATTTCCGTATGTTTTTGTTTTCCATCTGAACAGATTAAGATAAAACAAGATTTTTCTAATTTTCTTTAAAACGAATCGGCTGATCTTAGAAAGTCAAATGCCGAAATAAAGCACTTTGAAAGGCCTTTCAAACAAGTTATTACTCGATACCCCTTGTCATTTGAAATTTTTAACCCTGGAGGCAGAGGGTGAAAGGGGCTGAAGTAGTTTTTGGTTAAAAGCTGTCCCCCTTCACAAACATTTAGCCGTGCCTCGGCGTTTTTTCTTTTAATTAGTAGTTTTCAATAAATCCGTGGTGAAAGGTTTTCAAATGAACACCCTGTATACCATGCCATAGATATGAATAGTTCCGCTACAGTCTACACACTTTCATGTTCACTACAAAAATCGGAGCCATTTTGCAAATTCGCTTGTATTTTACAGCTAATGAAACCTGGCATATAAACTATGTTGAAATTTACAGTTGAAATGTTTATACCCTACAAATTGCGGTTATTAATTTAGCGCAAACTAATTTTATTTAACATTTAATTAGCTGCTACAACCAAGAATATTTTATAGGACGTTTTATATCGTTCTATTAA